GCACCCACACATTCCTGGCCCCGAGACAAATGCAGAGACCGGCCCCAGCCAGGGCCCAGCCGGGCGCGTGTCCGGGTGAGCGGTCAGGCTGGTGGTCCAGGCAGTCAGACACGTGGAGCAGACGAGCAGGAGGGTTGGGGTGGAGAGAGAGGGAGGGCCTGGCATTGAGGCTGTCTTCACCCCCCAGTAAAGCACGGCTCCCCTGAGCATCCAGCCCCGCCCCACCCCTCGGGGACAGGCCCATCCAGCAGGAGGGGTGCGCTGGCTGCCCCCACCCCCGCATCAGGCACCCTCTGTGCCGGGGCAGACCAGGCTGGGAAGCCCCAACACCTGACAGGGTTTTCCCGAGGGCCCGGGGGCAGGGCTTCTGTCTGGGTCTGTGTGAGGGCGGGAGTTCCCGGAGCCCTGCATGGACCCCCTCCCCACTGATACCCAAGGCGGGGACCCCACCTCAGGGAAATGGAGCCCCAGGAATCCAGACAGCCACGCCCGGTGGTCACCTCCCATACAAGAATCAATCCATGAATGCCTCAACACGGAACCGCCGCCCGGCCGGCCGGCCTGGCACACGCTGAGCGTCAACCTGTGAACCTGGAGGTCACGGCCAGACTCCCGGCCAGGGCCCAGGCCCGGTTGCAGGCTCCATGCCCAGTAGGGGGCGTGCAGGAGGCAGCCGGTCTGTGATTCTCTCTCATCCTGGATGTTTCTCCCTCTCCCTTCCTCTCTGAAACCAATAAAAACATTTAACATAATGTTGTTTTTTTAAGTAGATGACTAGATAGGCTCATGTATACAATGGGAGATTGTTTCTGTGTCTGTGAGGAAGGCGGAAGCAGCGCCATCTGTGAAAACACGCCCGGACTGGCTGTCAGGGCAGCCGTGGAGGAAAACAAACACTGATCACCCACATGGGATCAAAGCCAGGCTCCGGGTTCTGGGCTCGGAATTCCCGATGGGCTGGACCCCAGAACCAGGGCCGGCCAGCGCCTGCTAACAAGCTGGTAAGGCAATCCCTCTGGCTGTGTGTGTGTGTGTGGGGGGGGGGGGGGGCGGGCAGCTCCGGCCACGCCTCTGCGCTGTCTGGGGTTCCGCCCCAGCCAAGTCGCCTTCCCCTGAGAGTGTGTTTCGAGGGAAAGTTGGGAAACTTTATCAAATGCTTTTCTGCGCTGACGAAGATGCTCAACCATGTTTTTATGTTTTTCCTGTCGGGACAACGTGATTTTCCAGGGTGCACCCCGTCTGGCATTCAGAGAGGGCGCCCACATTGTGGAGATAACCTCTCTCTCTCTGTCTCTCTCTCTCCTCCTCTCTCCCTCTCTCCTCTCTGTCTCTCTTTCTCTCTCTCCTCTCTCTCTCCTCTCTCTCTCTCCCCCCCCTCTCTCCTCTCTCCCTCTCTCTCTCCTCTCTCTCCCTCTCTCTCTCCCTTTCCCTCCCTCCCTCTCCCTCCCTCTCTCTCTCCCTCTCTCTCTCTCTCTCTCTCTCTCTCTTTCTCTCTCTCTCTCTCCCTCCCCCCCTCCCTCCTTCCCTCTCGTTTGCTGTGCTTCTGTTGTGTGGAGCTTACGCCCTGTGTAGGAGTGAAACCAGCCTCTCCTGTTCCTACATGAGATGTCTCTGTTGGGCCGGCCCTGGTGGCTCCGGGGCTGAGCATCGACCAGGGACCAGGCGGTCAGGGTTCGATTCCCGGTCGGGGCCCCGGCCCGGGTGTGGCTCGGTCCCCAGTTGGAGGGGAGCGTTTTCTCCCCCAGATCGTGCTGGTCTCAGTGGAGCGCTGGGCAGCGCCCGCCCCTCTGCGCCGCGGAGTCTGTCTGGGCCGGGGCCTCCCTCAGCGAGTGCTCGAGGCACAGGGACCTCTGCCTGGGGCCGCGCTGTTCTCCTTGGAAAGGCGGGGAGGGCGGTGGAGAGACTCTGCTCAGACCCCACTGTAGCTTCTGCGGTCTGAGAGCCACACCCCGTCCATCTCTCTATGCATTCCTGGTCTTTGATATTAAATATTTACGAATGCTAGAGGATTGGAGGATCTCTGCCCCGCCCGCCCCCGAGCACAGAGCACAGCCGATGGAATATTCTTCTTATTATTATTTCAGGGAGGAAGGGGGGGGGGAGAGAGAGAGAGAGAGAGGGAGAGGAGGGAGGGAGGGAGAGAGGAGAGAGAGAGAGAGAGGGAGAGAGAGAGGGAGGGAGAGAGGGAGAGAGAGAGAGAGAGAGAGAGAGAGACATCAATGACGAGATCGGCCGCCTCCTGCACGCCCCACCCTGGGGACCGAGCCCACAGCGCGGGCCTGTGCCCTGGCCGGGATTGAACCCTGACCTCCGGTTCACAGGCCGGCGGGACGGGAATATTCTTTCCCAAGGACGCACTTTCCTTCCTTCCCGCTGCTCCCAGGCCCCCCTTTGCTCGGGGACACGTTTCCCTGCACGAGGCCCAGCTGGCCGCTGCCCTCCCGCTGTGACCCAGGAGACAAGCGTCCCCTCTCGCTGGAGGCCTTGGCTCCAATCCTCTCTGCCGAACGCCAGAGCTGGATCCACGGGGCCGGTAACAGCTGGGGCCATGTCGCCGCCAGCGCCCCCGGACCAAGGCCATGGGGAGGGGCACGGGGTGGGGCTGGAGGCCGTGGGCATGAGCCGGGCAAGGACGGCGGAAGGTCCCTGGGCAGAGAGCCCAGGCCTCCGGGAAAATCCGCTGTGGGCGGGACCTCGCCCTGGGGACCCCCTCACCCCCTGCACAACCCGGTCCTGTGGTTTGGGGTCTAACCCTAACCCTAACCCTAACCCTAACCATAACCATAACCATAACCCTATCCCTAACCCTAACCCCTAACCCCTAACCCCTAACCCTAACCCTATCCCTATCCCTAACCCTAACCCCGGCCTTTTCTCTCTGAGAGCAGCTGGGCCTCAGCTGTGTCTCCGCTCCCGGCCCCAGAGAAGCAGCAGAACCAGCAGCAGCTGTGGCGGAGGCTGGGGAGGAGGCTAAGGCTGGGGCTGGGCCTGGGGCTGGGGCTGGGGCTGGGGCTGGGGGTGGGGCAGGGGCTGGGGCTGGGGCTGAGGCTGGGGCTGGGGGCTGGGGCTGGGCTGGGGCTGGGGCTGGGGCTGAGGCTGGGGCTGGGCCTGGGGCTGGGGCTGGGGCTGAGGCTGGGGCTGGGGGCTGGGGCTGGGCTGGGGCTGGGGACTGGGGCTGGGGACTGGGGCTGGGCTGGGGCTGGGGGTGGGGCAGAGGCTGGGGCTGGGGCTGGGGCTGGGCCTGGGGCTGGGCCTGGGGCTGGGGCTGGGGCTGGGGCTGGGGCTGAGGCTGGGGCTGGGGTGGAGGCTGAGGCTGGGGCTGAGATCAGGGCCAGCTGCAGTGAGTGTGACCCCACCCCCGCACCTGCACCCACCAATCCATCAGGGAGATCCGACCCTGAGACACACCTGGGAGCTGCTGACTGTTCCATCGGACCCTCCCCTGGGGCCGCCCCTAAAGCCCTGAGGACGGAGGACCCAGCCCCCCGCCCCCCCAGGCCCGTCACCACCCCTCCCTCCCTCCCGAGCTCCCTGGGCCCTTTACTCCATCCCTGGTCTCCTAAACCCATTTCTGCTGAACACTCCTTCTCCCAACGAACGGTCTGAGAAATGCTCTCTTCCAGCCCGGCCGCGGGGCTCCGAGGCTGAGCGCTGACTTGGGAGCCAGGCGGTCAGGGTTCGGTTCCGGCCAGGGCACAGGCCCGGGTGGTGGGCTCCATCCCCAGTGGGGGGAATGCAGGAGGCCAGTCAGTGATTCTCATCATCGATGTTTTTCTCTCTCCCCCATCTCCCTTTGTCTATGAAATCAGTAAAAATATTCAAAAGTAAATTTTAAGAAGCTCTCTCGCCGTGTGGGTCTGGCTCTGAATTCTTTCCTCGCCAGAACCCGAGGCCCGAGCTTCCTGAGCCGGGGCTGGGTCAGACCCCAGGTGGGTCCCGCCGCCCACAGCAGGGCACTGGGCAAGTTCCAGGCCCCGCCCACCCTGACGTCACCCTCACGGTCCCTCCCCCCCAACCCCCCCCCCCACCCCGCCCCTCACTCTGGGGAGCTCCCTCCGGCCTGCGCCCCCAGGAAGCCTCTCCCCTGAGAACTGACTCAACAGCCCCTGCCCCCCCCCCCCCCCCCCGGGGCCGCCCAGGGCTGTTACAGAAAGGGAACCGCCCGGGGGCTGTGGTTCCTGGCTCCACCGGAAAGATTTCACAAGCGAGGCCAGGTGACACTGCGGACCGTTTATTACCCCTGCGGCCGGGGACACCCGGGAGGGCTGAGCGCAGGAGGAGAGGGGGCCTCGGCCTGGCCGGTGCGGCTCAGTGGTTTGGAGTGTTGTCGGGCACACAGAAAGGTGGAGGGTTCGATTCCCAGTCGGGCCACATACCCGGGTTTCAGGTTCCATCCCCGTTGGGGGGGGCAATCCGTCCGTCTCTCTCTCTCTCTCTCTCTCTCTTCCTCTTTCTAAAGTCAACTTTAAAAAAAAACTTTCCATTAAAAAAAAAGGGGGGGGTCGGATGGAGTTCAGAGGTTAACCTGGGGTGAGGGAGGCCCTTAGGGCTAGGAGAGGCGCACCTGGGGGGAGGGGAGGGGGACGGGGGAGGGGACGGCAGGAAGGGGTCTCAGAGGGTCCCCTGTCCTGGGGCTCCATCTCTCACACGCCCAGCTGCAGTGAGGTCAAAGATGGCCGCCACAAGATGGCCTACAGGGGAGGGCAGTTGGGGGGGGCAGGCCTGCAGGGGAGGGCAGTTGGGGGGTGGCCAGGCCTGCAGGGGAGGGCAGTTGGGGGGTGGCCAGGCCTGCAGGGGAGGGCAGTTGGGGGCGATCAGGTCAGCAAGGGAGCAGTTAGGTGTCGACCAGGCTGGCAGGGGAGTGGTTAGGGGCAATCAGGCAGGCAGCAGGCAGCCAGGCGAGTGGTTGAGAGCCAGCAGCCCCGGATTGTGAGAGGGATATCCGACTGCCAGTTTAAGCCCCCAGGGACCAGGCCTAAATCGGCAGTCGGACACCCCCCGAGGGGCCCCAGATTGGAGAGGGTGCAGGCTGGGCTGAGGGACATGAATTTTGTGCACCAGGCCTCTAGTAAAAACATTTTTTTAAAAATTAAAAAGGAGAACAGCCCACAGATATGCATGTCCTGGTCCCTGGGGAGGTGGCCTGCCCGCATCCTGCTCTCTGCCCGGCGATGTGACCGCAGCCCCAGCCCGGAACCCGTTCCCGTTGGGGGGGCCCCGGCCTGGCGTTCCGTCTCTGGGCACTGGGGATGCATCCTGCTGGGCCCAGCGCCAGGCAGAGGGAGTCAGGGACCCCATGGGGCCCGCCAGCTGCTCCTGGGCCCTCTGGGGCGAACGAGACCCCAATGCTCTCAGGGGCCCCCAGGCCTGTCCAGAGAGGCCCCCAGCCCGGGCGGCCCTGCCAGCAGCTGGCAAAGCCGTTCACGTGATTGGAGCTCCTGGGCCCAGATCAGTGGCTCTCAATTGGGGGCAACGTGGTGGCTGGTTGTTGGGGGGAAGGGGGAGCTGCTGCATCTGGTGGGTGAGGCCAGGGGTTGCATCCCCCCAAGAGTCAGCGGTGCCAGGGCTGAGAGTGTGGGCTGCTGGGGCCGGGCTGGGGGCCGGGTCTCAGTGCGTCCCACACTTTCCGGGCCCCGAGGACAAGATGCAGAGACCAGCCTCGGCCTCGGCCCCGGCCGGGCCCACCCCCGCCTTCCAGGCGCCCCCCCCGCCCCCCCGTCAGAGCTCCAGCGAGGGGGGGCGGGGGCACTGCCTCTGCCCAGGGGTGGCCGTGCTGGTGCATCGCAAAGGACTGTGGGAGCTCGTGTGTCTGCTTCCTGAGGGTCCCCTCCCTCCCTGCCACCCTGAATGCGGCCGGCCGCCCCCTCTTTCACCTTGAACAGAGGATGTACTGATGGGGGGTGGGGGTGAGGGAAGGGGGGGCCTGGGGAGAGGCTGGGGAAGCTGGAGGGACTCCCAGGCCCCTCGGCCGGGCTGCCCCACCCCGTTCACCCCCAGGAGGACCCGGACCCGCCGGGGCACACGCCAAGGCCGGGCAGACCCGGCTCTCGGGAGCCGCCTCCTCAGTAGCCGGCGGCCTCCCCGTACTTCCTGGGGTCCGAGGCGGCCTCCACACAGGCCCCGTCCCGGAACACGGCCTGCACCACGTTCAGGAAGAACTGCCTCCTGGCCGGCTGCTGGCCCCGGCCCGCCAGCCCCTGCCGCACTTCCTGCGGGAGAGAGGGGGCCCAGGGGAGGGCGGCTCAGGCCCGTCTCCATGGCGACCGGCCCGGGCAGGACCGAGAACCCCACCGAGGGGCTGGGAAGGGGTGAGGACGAGAGGGGCCTGGGGGAGGCCTCCCCTTTGGGGCACGGCGCCTGCCCTTCCCGCTCCAAAGGGCCCGGCGGGGGACGTGGTGGGGCCGCCCCGGGGCGGAGGGCACGTCCGGCCTGAGTCCGAGGACAGTGACCCCCAGGCCACCGGCACCCGTGGTCCCCGAGGGGGCTGCTCAGAGCACCCGGCCCAAAGGCTCAGGCCTGCGGTGCTGAGGCTGTGGATCTGGGGGAGCCGAGGGTCTGGGGGAGCCGAGGGTCTTGGGGAGCTGAGGGTCTGGGGGAGCCGAGGGTCTGGGGGAGCCGAGGGTCTGGTCTGGGGGAGCCGAGGATCTGGTCTGGGGGAGCCGAGGGTCTGGGGGAGCTGAGGGTCTGGGGGAGCCGAGGGTCTGGTCTGGGGGAGCCGAGAGTCTGGGGGAGCCGAGGGTCTGGGGGAGCTGAGGGTCAGGTCTGGGGGAGCCGAGGGTCTGGGGGAGCTGAGGGTCTGGTCTGGGGGAGCTGAGGGTCTGGGGGAGCCGAGGGTCTGGGGGAGCCGAGGGTCTGGGGGAGCTGAGGGTCTGGGGAGCTGGATTCCAGGCTGTCATCTCTGAATCCTCAGAGAATTGAGCTCACAGAGTAACCACAACTCAAGGTCAAGGTGAAGGCCTAGGAGCAGTGGCTGGAGGAGAGGTTCGGGGAGCACTCCATGTACTTCCACGGGGAGGACCGTGCACAGGGAGGGAAGGCCTTGGCTCTGAGTTTGAGCCTGATTGGCCGAGGTCCTCAGCTCTGGGCCCACAGACGGAAATTCTCAGGGGTGACAGGCCCCTTGGGCTCCAGGCCCCCTCCCTCTGGTTGCGGGAGAGGCCCAGGTCATTGGAAACTCCTCCCGGGATCTCGAACCCCAGCCGGCTGACCTGCCCCGGGGCCTGCAGCCTGCAGCCCTGAGAGCTCCCGGGGTTTGAATTAGGTCCTGCAAAGGGCGTCTGCCAGCCCAGAGAAGCTTCCAGAAAGCCGGCCCGCTCTGGGGCGGCGGGCAGGGAGAGGGGGCTGCGCCGGAGGAGAATCCGGCTCCAGGGCCTGCTCAGTAGGGGCTCGGCCTCACCTGCGGGAAGCCGGGCTCGAACTCCACCTGGCCCCTGTCGTTCACGTGCAGGATGGGGGCCGCGATGGCTGCGCCCAGGTCCAGGCCGAGCCACAGCTTGTTCACGATGACCTGGGGGGAGGGGAGGCGGTCACGGGGGGCGGGCACCAGCCCCCCACCCCTCCCTGCCCCCAGGGGAGCAGGAACCCTGGGCTGTCCGGGGTGTGGGGGGGACCCCAGCCTCACCTGCACCCCCGGCCTCACCTGCACCCCCAGCCTCACCTGCACCCCCGACCTCACCTGCACCCCAGCTCACCTGCACCCTCAGCACACCTGCACCCCCGACCTCACCTGCACCCCCAGCTCACCTGCACCCCCAGCCTCACCTGCACCTCCGACCTCACCTGCACCCCCAGCTGACCTGCACCCCCGGCTCACCTGCACCCCCGGCTCACCTGCACCCCCGGCTCACCTGCACCCCGGCTCACCTGCACCCCCAGCCTCACCTGCACCCCCGGCTCACCTGCACCCCCGGCTCACCTGCACCCCGGCTCACCTGCACCCCCGGCTCACCTGCACCCCGGCTCACCTGCACCCCGGCTCACCTGCACCCCCAGCCTCACCTGCACCCCCGGCTCACCTGCACCCCGGCCTCACCTGCACCCCGGCTCACCTGCACCCCGGCTCACCTGCACCCCGGCTCACCTGCACCACAGCTCACCTGCACCCCGGCTCACCTGCACCCCGGCTCACCTGCACCCCGGCTCACCTGCACCACGGCTCACCTGCACCCCGGCTCACCTGCACCCCGGCTCACCTGCACCCCGGCCTCACCTGCACCCCGGCTCACCTGCACCCCCGGCTCACCTGCACCCCGGCTCACCTGCACCCCGGCTCACCTGCACCCCCGGCTCACCTGCACCCCGGCTCACCTGCACCCGGGCTCACCTGCACCCCGGCTCACCTGCACCCCGGCTCACCTGCACCCCCGACCTCACCTGCACCCGGGCTCACCTGCACCCCCGGCTCACCTGCACCCCCGGCTCACCTGCACCCCCGGCTCACCTGCACCCCCGGCTCACCTGCACCCGGGCTCACCTGCACCACGGCGGAGATGATGAGCTCCCCGCCGGCTCCGCCGACCACCAGCGTGGACCCCCGGGCCGCGTTGACCAGGATGGAGGGGACCATGGAGGAGGGGGGCCGCTCCCCTGGAACTGGAGGCCTGTGGGCGTCACGGGCGCCGGGCTTCCCAGCCGGGGTCCGCACACCGCCCCCTCCCTCCCGGTCCCCTCTCGCCGCCGCGCACTGTGGCCGGGAGCGGCGGGGTCCCCGTGCAGCGCCCCCCCTCTCCAGGGCCCCCCACACTCACCGGGCGCAGGGCGTCCCCCGGCGCCCGGCCTGCGCCTCCAGCACAGGTCCAGCAGCTCATTGTTGAGGAGGATGCCCGTGCGGGGGGAGTACACCATCGCCCCGAAGCTGCGGGGGAGGGGCGGCTCAGGGGCAGGCTCCCGTCTGCCGGGAGGGCCCTCCGGCCCCTCCCCCGCCTTCCGGGGCCCCTCGTTTTATCATCTTTAAATATACTTGTATTGTTTTCAGAGAGAGGGAGGGAGAGGGCGAGAGGGATAGAATCCTCCGTGATGGAGAGAATCATGGACTGGCTGCTCCCGCACGCCCCCTGCTGGTGGGGATGGAGCCCGCAACCCAGGCAGGTGTCCTGATGGGGAATCAAACCGTGACCTCCTGGTTCACAGGTCAACGCTCCACTCCTGAGCCACGGGGCCGGGCCAGGAGCCACTCGCTTTGGTGGCCGCCCTCCCTCCCGCATGGGATGCCGGACCTGCTGCCTTCTCCCTGGCACTGCCCCCAGGTCCCCCTGAGCCCCATCAGGGTGTCCTGGAAGGCCCATCCCGGGCTGGTCCTGGCTCGGGGCCCCCCATCAGCAGAGATATCAGGGTGCAGGACCCCTTTGGACAGAGAAGAAGAAGAAATGGGGAAAGCAAGGTGAGGAGGGGCTGGGAATGGGGTGGGTGGGTGGGCTGGGGCTGGGCGATCAGGCAGAGGGTGGGGTGGGCGGGGTGGGGGAGACTCAGGTCTGGGGGTACAGGGGGGGCCTGTCCGCCTGCCCCCGGGACGCACGGCGTGTTGATGGTGCTGGTGGCGGCCACGGCACTGCCGTCGGCCCCCAGCACGGACACGTGGGCGGTGCCCGCCCTGTGGCCCCAGGGCCCGGCCAGGCCGTAGTGGCTGGGCGGGTGGTCGCCGCGGGCGTCCATCTGCTGGCGGATGTGCTGGGCCAGGGCCTCCCCCAGCAGGTCCAGGGAGGCGTTCTGGGGGGACAGCCGGTGGGCGCGGTGAGTGCCCCCTCAGCCTGTCCTCCCTGAGCCCCCTGCACCCCGCCTGCCCGGCCCTCTGAGGCTCGGCACTACCACTGCCTCCCGCCAGGCCTTCGCAGGCCCGCGCCTGTGCCAGGGCCAGCCGTCCGCCACCCTCCCGGGCTCCAGGGTCCCGAGGGAGCGCCCGCGGCCCAGCCCCCCTCGTGCTGAGCCCGGGCCCCGGCTGCTCACCTGGGCCTCGGGGTGGCTCCGGGGGTCCCACAGCCGCCACCGCTGCCCCCCCGCAAACTTGAACGTCTCCACCAGGTGGTGGTACAAGGCCACGCTGCCCTCGGGCGTGGCCACCGACTCCGCAGAGAAGTTGAACCCTGTGTGGGCACGGGCACTGAGCCACACCCGCCAGGGCCAGAGCACACGCCTTCACCCGATTCCCCAGCCCCAGCGTCGGAGGAGGGGGCTGCACTGGGAATGGCCACGTCCGCCCCAGGCCACGGCCGCCCCAGGCCATGTCCACCCCAGGCCATGTCCACCCCAGGCCACGTCTGCTCCAGGCCACAGCCGCCCCACTGCCCCAGGCCACGGCAGGCCCGGCCACGTCCACCCCAGGCCACAGCCGCCCCAGGCCACAGCCGCCCCAGGCCACGTCCGCCCCAGGCCACAGCCACCCCAGGCCATGTCCACCCCAGGCCACGTCTGCTCCAGGCCACAGCCGCCCCACTGCCCCAGGCCACGGCAGGCCGGGCCACGTCCACCCCAGGCCACAGCCGCCCCAGGCCACAGCCGCCCCAGGCCACAGCCGCCCCAGGCCACGTCCGCCCCAGGCCACAGCCACCCCAGGCCATGTCCACCCCAGGCCACAGCCACCCCAGGCCATGTCCACCCCAGGCCACGTCTGCTCCAGGCCACAGCCACCCCACCGCCCCAGGCCACGGCAGGCCCGGCCACGTCCACCCCAGGCCACAGCCGCCCCAGGCCACGGCTGGGCGTGGGGTTCCGGTGCCCAGCAGGACAGGGCCCTGAGCAGGGGCCGGGGCTCGCACCTTTGAGCACGTTGAGGATGAGGCTGAGAATTGCGCCCCCTGCGGGCGGCGGCGGGGAGTACAGAGTGTAGTTCCCCAGGGGCATGGCCAGGGCGGGCACCACCTCGGGCTGGAAGGAGGCCAGGTCCTGCATGGTCAGCTGGCTGCCTGCAGAGACAGAGACCAGGGCAGGGGGGGAGAGGGGAGAGTGACCTCCCGGCCCCTGGCCACAGGGGGCGCCCCTCGTCCCCCAGCCTGCTGGACCAGGAGGGGAGGATGGGGGAGGGCGGGGAGGGAAGGTGTGGGGGGGAGCTGGCCTCAGGGACACTGTGAGGGTGGCCGCCCCAGGCCCGGGAGCCTGCCATGGCCCCAGCGACTCCCCTCTGTGAGCCTAACCCCCCGGGGCCTGCTCCTTGAGGCCAGGGCGGCCGGCAGGGGGCAGAACGGGGCACACAGCCACTCCCCGCCCCGGGAGCCGCTGGCACTTCCTCAGCCTGGGGAAGACCCTGCCCTCCACACCCCGTGCCCAGCCCTGGCCAGTGTGGCTCAGCGGATAGAGCATCAGCCTGTGGACGGAAGGGTCCCGGGTTCGACTCTGCTCAAGGGCACAGGCCTGTGTTGCAGGCTCCATCCCCAGGGGGGAATCTCTCTCTCTCTCTCTCCCCCTCTCCCTTCCTCTCTGAAATCAATAAAAGTATTTTTTTTTTTTAAAGAAAGACTAACAGCAAAGACGGGTGTGGAGGCCCGGCTCCTCCTGGGGCCCGGCCGGCCGGCCAACGGCTCACCTTCCCGGCCGATGTCCTCCAGCAGCGTCCGGCCCAGCGGCCCTGAGTACAAGGCCTCCGCGCCCTCCCGGGCCACCGTCTCCAGCGTGGTGGCCAGCGCGGGCCAGGGGAACGGGTCCGCAGGGCCCAGCGGCTCGGTGCCGTTGAAGAAGAGCTGCCTGCGGGAGGGGGGGCCTCAGGCGGGACCGCGCAGGGCACCCCTCTTCCATCCCTCATCACCGTCAGGCCTGGGCCCCCCGGGTCCTCGCTGCTCCTGGGGGACCTGCTCAGGAGGGGCAGGCGGGCACGGGGCGGCCCGAGCAGGAAGGGGGCAGAGCCAGGTGCCCTGAGGGCCCATCCCTGGGGCACAAAGCCTCTGGCCTGAGCCCCTCCCATCAGGTCCTGGGAAGCCGGGCATCGCAGGGCCGGCCGGGCGGGTCCCCGCACCCACAGGGTCCCTGGTCGGCTCGGAGCCGGGCCTGGCCCCGGGCCCCCTGGCGCTCACCGCAGGGAGGAGCCCTGGAGCTCGGGGCGCAGCAGGCGGTGCCGCAGGAACTGGCTGAGCACGGGCGGCGTGCGGCGGCCGCGGCGGAGCAGCGCGATGGTGGGCTGGAGCAGCCGCGCCCAGGGCAGCCGGCCGTGCCGGCGGTGCGCCTCGGCGTAGCCCCGCAGCTCCCCGGGCACGCCGGCCCACTGCGCGCCTGCGGGGGCGGTCAGCTGCCACGCTGCCCCTTCCCGCCGCCCCGGCCTCCCCCCCCGCCGCCCCTGGGCCTGGAGCCGCCGGCCGCGGTGACTTCCTGAGCCCTCACCGACCTGCCCTGCCCACACCCCTGCGGCCCCCCCAGCCCTGCCCCTCCCCCCCCCTCCCCCCACTTCATTCCCTCCCCCCCACAACCCTCCCCCAACCCCAGCAGGAAGGACGGCCTCCGTGGGGCTCCCGGCTGGGTCCCAGTGCCGGGGTCTCAGCCCAGCGGCCCCTCCGCCCCCGAGGCCTCACCTCTGCCCAGGGGCAGCGCCTGCTCGCACTGGTCCAGCAGCCCCGGGGCCTGGCGGGCGGGCACCGTCTCCCTGGCATTGATGACCTCCACCTGCCCTGGAGGGGGCGGGAGGGTGAGGCCCCGGCCTGGGCCCACCCTGGCCTGTGGCCCCGCGGAGGGTGGGACCCGGGGGAGGGGAGCGAGAGGACAGACGGGACACCCCCCCCCCCCGGGGGCTGCGCAGAAGCACCTGGGACCCTGGGATCCTTCCCGCCCTCAGGGCCCGGGGCTCGGCGGTGGGTCCCCCCCACCCTGCCCCCCGAAGGCTCCGCACCCCGAAGGCTCTGCCCCCCGAAGGCTCTGCCCCCCGAAGGCTCCGCCCCCCGAAGGCTCCGCCCCCCGAAGGCTCCGCCCCCCGAAGGCTCCGCCCCCCGAAGGCTCCGCCCCCCGAAGGCTCCGCCCCCGAAGGCTCTGCCCCCCGAAGGCTCTGCCCCCGAAGGCTCCGCCCCCGGAGGCTCCGCCCCCTAAGGCTCCGCCCCGGAGGCTCCGCCCCTAAGGCTCCGCCCCGGAGGCTCCGCCCCCCGGAGGCTCCGCACCCCAGAAGGCTCTGCCCCCCGAAGGCTCCGCCCCCCGAAGGCTCCGCCCCCCGGAGGCTCTGTCCCCCAAAGGCTCCGCCCCCCGAAGGCTCCGCACCCCAAAGGCTCTGCCCCCCGGAGGCTCCGCACCCCAGAAGGCTCCGCACCCCGGAAGCTCGGGGACGGGGACGCACCGGTGCTGGCGTTGTAGACGGTGAGGATGACGCCGCCGCCCAGGCCCATGCTCTGCGGGTGGACGGCGCCGGTGCAGACCAGCGCGGCGATGGCGGCGTCCACGGCCGAGCCCCCCTGCTGCAGGATGGCCCTGCAAGACGGGCGGGCGGGCGGGCGGGCGCCGTGAGGCTGGCTCCCTGCCCCCCACTCCCGCTCCCCTCACCCCCTCGCTCAGCTGGCAAGCCCGGGAGGAGCGGTGGCAGGCAGGGTTCCCCTTCGCACCAAACGTCAGAGCCCAGACCGCCGCCCGTCCAGGTTCCCCGCCCCCCGCCCCCCAGAGGGCACGGGCTGGCAGACGGCGGCTGTGAGCTGTGGACAAGGTGCTGGGCCGGCCCCAGCGTTCTCCTGCCCCATTCTCCCCCCACGCCCAGCGCCGGCTCCTCGTCCCCGTGGAGCCAGGCCTGGGCCAGCGCCCTGTCCCGCCCGCCCGCCCGGCAGCCCCAGGGCCCGGTCTGGGTGACCGCCATCGCCCACATCGCAGGCGGGACGGGGGGAGGGGGCGGGAAGACACTCCAGCTCCACCCCCTGTGAGGCTGGACTATCTCCAGTGACCCAGGACCCTTCTGCCATCAGGGCTGGGGGCCGGGGAGTGCTCTGGCCTGCCGCCCCATCTGTCTGTGGGCCCTGCCGCTCAGAGGGGCGCCGGACAGACCTGTGTGGGGGAGAGGACCCTGGCCCGGGGCACAGCCCTGCTCCGCTGACCCCCAGGAGTCCTCCCGGCAACCCTGGGAGGCCAGCCTTTACAGCCCAGGTCTGGCCCGGCTGGGGCGGCTCAGTGGTTGAGCAGGACCCAGGAACCAGGAGGCCATGGTTTGATTCCTGGTCAGGGCGCACGCCCGGGCTGTGGGCTCCATCTCCTATGGCAAGCTGGCACGGCAAGGGTGGGCCTGACCGGCAGAGGGTGTGTGTGTGTGTGTGTGTGAAGGATGGAGGAGAGACAGACGAGAGGAGGAAAGCTGGGTCTGGGCCAGACGCTGCTTCTCTGATGGAGAGACAGCGGCCACGCCTGCAAGCCCAGTCTTTTTTATTTTATTTATTTTTTATTATTTTTTAAAAAATATATTTTATTGATATTTTACAGAGAGGAAGGGAGAGAGATAGAGAGTTAGAAACATCGATGAGAAAGAATCATCGATCAGTCGCCTCTTGCACACCCCCTCCTGGGGATGTGCCCGCAACCAAGGTACATGCCCTTGACCGGAATCGAACCCGGGACCTTTCAGTCCTCAGGCCGATGCTCTATCCACTGAGCCAAACCGGTCCCAGCTATTTTTTATTATTTTTAAAAATATATCGTATTTTATTGATTTTTTACAGAGGGGAAGAGAGAGGGATAGAGAGTTAGAAACAACAATGAGAGAGAAACATTGATCAGCTGCCTCCTGAACAACCCCCACTGGGGATGTGCCCGCAACCAAGGTATGTGCCCTTGACCGGAATCGAACCCGGGACCTTTCAGTCCGCAGGCCGATGCTCTATCCACTGAGCCAAACCGGCTAGAGCTGAAATTTCTTTGGGGAGCCAAATTTTTTTTAAACTTCTTCTAACGCCACTTCTTCAGCATAGACTCGCCCAGGCCGTGGTGTTTTGTGGAAGAGCCACACTCCAGGGGCCAGAGAGCCGCATGTGGCTGGGAGCCGCAGTTTGCCGACCACGGGTTTAGGAGATGCTCGCCCGCCTGTGCGGGAGAACGGGAGGGAGGGAGAGGTGCAGGCGGCTTCCGCCGGGAGGGAGAGCACGCTCACGCACACGTCTCTAACATGCCTGTCCCCAGGGCACCGGGAGGCTGCCACCCGCATCCCCTCCAGCCTGCACACTCACACACACACACACACACGTGTGCTCACACACGCATACACGTGTGCTCACACACGCGGTGTGCCGTGCCCAGACTGTGCCTTCCTGAGCCCCAGCAGGAGGAAATGCAATAATTTCCTGGAAACTTGGCCGTGGGTACAGAGGGCCACTGGGGTCAGGAGGTCTCAGAGAGAGGAGGACGGGGTGGGACCCCCTAATTCCCTAGGAGCCTTCCCATCAGGAGGGTCCCCTGTGTGGACCCTGGGCCCTCACTCCAGGCCCATGTCCAGTACCAGCGACTGTAACAGCCAGCGGTCAGGACATCCAGCTACCGCCGGACAGTCCCGCCTCCGGGCCCCTTGAGGGAAGGGCTGACACCAGCCCATTTCGCAGATGGGAACACTGAGGCCCCTGTCCGGAGTCCGGGCGCTCCTCTGCACCGAGAACGGAGCACATAGGCCCCGGCGGGGTCTGGAGCAGCAGGCGAGGCTCAGGGCCGTCCGCGTCCAACCCCACGCCCCAGGGCCAGCCCAGACCCCCGTGGCCCCGAGGGTGAGCCCTCCCCCGGGCCCCACCAGCCTCCTCTGCAACCACGCACTTGACCAGTGAAGCTCTGGCCTTTGTGGGCCGAGCCTGGAGGCCGGGCAGACACTGGGCTCGGGGCGGGAGGCAGAGGGGGTGGGGGGCTCCACCCTCCAGCAGCCCCGGGGGTTCTCCCCCTCCAGACAGCAGCGGCCTCTCTGTGAGGCCCAGCTTCCCCCTCAGTGAAGCGCAGCCACGCGTCCCCCTGGATCCGGGAGGATTGGGGGACCCCCCCCCCCCTCAGAGGATGGGGTGGAGGCAGGCCTTTCGGAGCGGCCGCAGCAGCCAGACTCCACAGCCTGAGCCCCCCCAGCCCGGCTCCCCCCCTGCCTCCCCTCGTCGCCTCAGGGCCCCCCGTGGCACAGCCCGGCCCCCGGGGCCTGAGGCGGGAGGTGCGGGCGGGAGGTGCAGCTGGGGATCGGAGCCAATGAGGCTGATTGGGGCCAATGAGGAGTGATTATTGCTAATTGAAGGAAAGCCAGACCGGCTGTGGCTGCGCGGCTCAGGAGCTGAGCATGCCTCGGAGCCAGGCGGTCCCGGTTCGGTTCCCGGTCGGGGCACAGGCCTGGGGTGTGGCTCCCTCCCCAGTGGGGGGCGTGCAGGAGGCCGCCGGTCCCTGATCCTCTCTCTTCACGGATGTTTCTCTCTCTCCCTCTCCCTCCCTCTCTGAAGTCAATAAAAACGTATTCACACACACACACACACACACACACACACACACACACACCAAGGAGGCAGTCCGAGGAGAGGCCTCAGGGCCCGGTGCATCTACGGTGTGACCGCAGTCCCTGTGTCACTTTGAGGACCCCCCGCCCCCCCACCCCCACCCCCTCTACCCCCCGGGCTCTGGCTGCCTCCGAAGCCTGGTGCGGGGAGGCTAGGAGGGGGGTTTGGGAGGCCCTGCTGATGAGGAGGGAGGGGGAGGGGCGAGGAGGGGGGAGGGGAGAGAGGGAGGGGAGAGGGGCCCCTATCAGCTCCCCACAGCCCAGCCCAGAGGCCCCCCATCCCCCCCCGGCCTCAGACAGGAAGTGGAAAGTGCTATCGGTCAAGCACACACACTGGAGGCACCACATCCGCCAGCTCTAAGGTCAGAGACCCCGGCCTGGACCCCACGGGCACAGACAAGACCGGGGGGCGGGGGGAGCAGGCCCAGGCCCCTCGGGGCGGGGGGTCCCCATCGGGGGTCTCTGCGGCCTGACCCCGGGGGGCCTGTGTCTGGAGCTGAGGCTCAGGTCGGGGTGGCGCCTGGCAGGTTCTCCCGAGCGGGATGGGGCTCCCCTCCCCCCGGGGGCCCCCCGGACCCCGAGGGCCCTGAGCTTCCCGTTAGGAGCCCTGGGGGAGGGCCAGCTGGAGCGGGTGGGACCGGGACAGACGGACAGACAGGGGAGGGAGGAAAGACGAGGTGAGCGAATGGAGCCGAGGGGTGAGGCTGGGTCCTTGGCTACCTGGGGGGGGGGCAGGGGGAACCCCCCCTCCGGGGCTGGGCCGTGCCCACACCCCTCTGCCTGGGACAGTCCCTCCCGGGGCCCACAGGGCCTCACGCTGACCTCACGCTCACGGGGCCCCAGGGGGTAGATGTTCCGGGAAGGGGTGGGGGACAGGAGGGCGTCCCGCCAGGCCCCGCCCCCTGGATGCGGGGGTGCAGGGCGGGACTTCCTGGAAGAGGGTCAGAAACACCAGCTGGGGTCCCTCTCCCCGGCCCCCCTAACACAGCGCCCCTCCCACGGCTGGCCCGGCCCCGGGCCCTGACCCCGGCTGGGAAAACACAGAGGGAGCCCCCCCCCCACGGCGGGGGAACGGGCCTGCAGGGGGGGCCCCGGGCCCCGGGGGGGGCACTGCCTCCTCGGGCCCCCGAGCCCGTCCCCGGAAGCACCACAGACCATCCCCTCTCCCCTCTCTGCCCTCAGCGGCCCTGTCCGCACCGCCCCATCGCCCGCCCCTGCCCGCTGCCCGCCCTGCGCGGCCGGAGCCCACCCCACGGCCCACCCGCCCGGCGCGACCCGGGCCCCTGCCTCAGGCCCCCGCACTCACCGCCCCACGTCCGAGCAGGCCTTGGAGTCCGCGGCCACCGCCGCGCGGGCGAAGGCCTGGGGCCCGCAGGGGGCGCGCTGGCGGGACAGGACCAGGGCGGCCGGCACGATGATGGCCAGGGCCAGCCCCAGCCCCAGCAGCACCAGCCCCACCGCGGCCCCCGGGCCCCGGGCCATGGCTCTGCGCGCGGGCCAGTGGCCGGACGGACAGACAGACGCACAGACAGCTGCGTGGCCGGACGGACAGGCGGCCGGACGGCTAGCGAGGGGCTGGTCAGACAGACATGGGACGGCGGCGGGTGACAGCGGACAGACAGGCCGGCCGTGGGCGGCGGGCAGCCGAGAACAGGTGGGTGTGTGGACAGGCGGCCGGCAGCCGGCGGGCGCGCGGCGGCCGGGCCCCTGCCTGCCGCGGGCTCTGCGGGCGGAGGCTGCTCCCGGAGCCGGAGCCGGAGCCGGAGCCGGAGCGTGGCCTGGACCGCGGCCCGGGACAGGGTGCTCTGGGGAGTTTTCTTTCCCGAGAAGGAAGCTGTGGTTAACCCCCTCCCTGCCGTTCCCACAGGGCCCGCCCGCCGCCCGCCCGCCCGCCCGCCCTGGCAGCCTGGCGCCTCGCTCTGCCCGCGGTGCCATCCCGTGTGCCTGGGACATGGCCTCTGGCTGGGACCCCCGCCCCCGGCCGCCCTGGTCCCAGCAGAGCCCGGACACGGGGCTCCGAGAGGAAGGGGACAGCCTCCGGGGGTGGGCACTGCCCGTCACAGCCGCCCGGCACCCCAGAGGCAGGGGCACGGGTGTCCGGGGCACAGAGGCTGAAGGGGGGGCCAGAGGCACACAGAGGGGCGGCCCAAGACCATCTCACTCAGGACCCGGGTTCAAGTCTCGCTCAGCCACAGCCTGGCGGGAAGATGGGGTGCAGACAGAGAGGGGCGGGGAGTGGTACCCAGGAGGGTGCCGGGCCTCGAGGGGCAGGCCAGCTCACGGTGCCCGTGTGGGGCGTGCACATGGGCATGTGCCAGCCCTTGGCACAGTGCCCGCCAGACGGCCCAGCCCGGGGCTGCTGCCCTCGTCCCTGCTTCCCTGTCCCGGTCACCCTGTGCCAGCGGCGCCTCCTCCACCCTGGCTTCAGGGCACCCCCTGGGGAGGTGGCTGGAGGAGGAGGCGCCCACGGAGGTGCCGCCTGGACCGGGCTCGGCAGGGCACAGGGAGCCGGGCCGCGGACTGGACGCCCATAGACTCAGCCCCCTCTGTCCCTGCAGGCCCCCCGCCCCCGTCTCCTCACACTCCGGGCCAGCGAGAAGCTGGGGCGCAGAGAGGGGCTGTATGAGCCCAGAGCCCCCATCACCCCGGCCCTTTCCCACCGCCCGTCCCCCACGGGTGCCCCCCCGCCCCTCACCGCAGCGACATTGCTCAGCCGGGACCCACGTGGCCCCCTGGGCCGGGGCCAGCCCCCCACAGGGCGGGGGTGGTTGTGTGTGGGGGGCGGGGGATGGAGTCGGCAGGGTCCCGGAGACGGCTCCTGAGACACTGTCTTTTTTTTAATTTATTTTAATTAGATATATTTTATTGATTTTACAGAGAGGAAGAGAGAGGGACAGAGAGTTAGAAACATCAATGGCATCCCTCCCCCTCCCCAGCGTCCTGGTCAGGCCAAGGCCGGGAGCAGGGACCACAGAGCCAGCGCCCAGGACTGGAACGGACGCCACGCTGGCCCCGCCCCCGGGGACCCTGTGAGGGCTGAGGAGTGACTTGCACCTTCTACCAGCCTCCACTCCATCCACCCTGACTCCAGTCCCCCCACCGCCTTCTCACCCCCCCACTCCGACTCCCCCCACCCCCACCCCGGGCCTCAGGGCAGGGTCAGCCTCTGCAGCCCAACACCGGCTCCTGTGCACACTCATGTTTTTTGTTTTGTTTTTATTAAATATATTTTGTTGATTTCTTACAGAGAGGAAGAGAGAGGGATAGAGAGTTAGAAACATCAGTGAGAGAGAATCATCGATCAGCTGCCCCTTGCACACCTCCACCTGGGGATGTGCCCGCAACCAAGGTCCATGCCCTTGACCGGAATCGAACCCGGGACCCTTCAGTCCGCTGGCCGCCGCTCCTATCCACTGAGCCACACCGGTTCCAAGCTGTGTGTGTTTTTCTTAATATATTTTTATTGATTTCAAAGAGGAAGGGAGAGGGTGGGAGAGATACAAACATCAACCACGAGAGAGAACCACGGACCGGCTGCCTCCTGCACGCCCCCCACTGGGGATGGAGCCTGCGACCCGGGAATTGAATCCTGACCTGGTTCTCAGGTGGACGCTCACCACTGAGCCAGGCGGCCAGCCCTGTGGCCTCCGCTGGCCCCTGTGCCCTGCCCTCAGAGGCCCCGCTTGTGCCCACTGGCCGGGCGTGACCTGACTGTCGGGCCGTGACCCCCTCTGCCCGCCCCCCCTCCAGCGCCTTTCCTGGCACTGTGTGTGAAGGACGGGTTGGCAGCCCGGCCGGCCTGGCTCAGGGGCTCCTGGTTCGGTTCCCGGTCAGGGCACAGGCCTGGGGTGTGGGCTTGATCCCCAGTGGGGGGCGTGCAGGAGGCAGCCGGTCCACGATGCTCTCTCATCATGGATGTTTCTCTCTCTCTCTCCCTCTCCCTTCCCATTAAAAAAATATATAAAAAAGGACGAGTTAGCAGACCCTGAGTGAGGGGGAGAGGGGGTTGTGTCCCCAGCCACCCACCCTCCAGCCCTGACCTCGGGGATCTGGCGCCTCTGCAGTCTGGTTCCTGGGAGCCGGATTCCCGGAGCTTCATGGGAGGTGGGGGGGGGGCGGGGGTTGTGCTTGGAAGGCATTCCCCTGGGGCCTGCTCGGAAAATCGGGTTTTGCTCCAGCCTCTGGCCCAACCCCACTCCCGGGGCCCCAGCTTCCCAGAGGGTGAGGTCCACAGATGGGTCCGACCCCTGCCAGGCCAGCAGGTGCCCAGGTTCCTTCCCAGTCTCCTGGGCTGCGGCCGCCCAAGTGAAAGCCGGAGCTACGGCGCCCCCTGGTGTCCAACCGTGGAAGTGCCTCTGCCCCGTCCAGGGATGGGAGGGCCTGGCCCCTGATGCCAGAGTTGAGGGTGAGGAAGGACAGGGCTGGGCAGGGGCCTGTCCTGCACCCCCTTCTGCCCCCCCCCAGGGCTCTCCCTCCCCCAGACGCCCCGTGTCACACAGGATGCTGGGCCCAGGGAGTGGGGAGCCGGCAGCACCTGACGCCGGGGCCCCGTTTATTGCACTGCTCTGCCCCCGCAGGAGACGGCCGTCCCCCGTCCCAGCCCGCCCGCCGCCTGCTCAGTAGCCCGCCGGCTCCCCGCCCTTCCTGGAGTCCGAGGCGGCCGCCCAGCCGGCCTCCGTGCGGGCGATGGCCTGCACCACGGCGATGAAGGTGGACACCTCCTGGGTGTGGTGGTGCCGGCTCTGCAGGCCTGCAGTCACTGCCTGCGGGTGGGGAGGGGAGAGAGGCCTCAGCGGGACCCGGGGCGCCCGCCCTCGGAGCCACCCGCGGGTCACGGGCCCCACAGCCCCGGGTGCTGGCCTTTCTGGCCGCGGGGCCAGGAGGAGGCAGCTGGGGGCCGCCGGGGCCCAGGCAGCCCTGGCCGGGTGGCTCAGCGGGCAGAGCGTCGGCCTGCAGACTGAAGGGTCCTGTGTTTGGTTCCGGTCAGGGCACAGGCCCGGGTTGCTGGCTCCATCCCCAGTGGGGAGCGTGCAGGAGGCAGCCGGGCCGTGATTCTCTCTCATCACTGAGGCTTCTTTCTCTCTTTCTCTCTCTTTCTCCCTCCTCTCTGAAGTCAATAGAAATATGTAAATAAGTGAGTAAAGGATGGCCCAGGCGGTGGCTGTGAGGCCCCCAGCCCCCGGGCCCGCCCGCCGTGCCTGCGCACCGGGTCTATGCCGCGCTCCAGCGTGGTGGTGTTGGGCAGGAGCTGGTTGTGCAGCCGGGGCTCCTCCACCGTCCTCTTCGCGTCGTAGCCGAACCACAAGTTGTAGATGATGGCCTGGGGGGGCAGCATGGTGTGAGGTCAGGGGTCAGCATGGCTGGGGGAGGGGTCAGATGGCGGGGGGAGGGGTCAGATGGCGGGGGGAGGGGTCAGATGGCGGGGGGAGGGGTCAGCATGGCGGGGGGAGGGGTCAGATGGCGGGGGCAGGGTCAGATGGCCTGGGGCTGGGCCGGGCAGGCGGGCACGCACCAGCGCGGTGGCCGTGGTGATCTGTGTGCCCCCGGAGGCGCCCACCACCAGGCTGACGCGGCCGTCCGGGTCCACCACGATGGCCGGGCACATGGAGGACAGTGGCTGCTTCCCTGGGCGGGCGGGGGGGGGACAGAGGCAGGTCAGCGTCCCCGCCGGACGCCCCCGCCGGACGCCCCCGCCGGACGCCCCTCCCCACCGGACGCCCCCACCAGACGCCCCTGCCGGACGCCCCCCCGCCGGACGCCCCCCCGCCGGACGCCCCTCCCCGCCGGACGCCCCCGCCGGACGCCCCTCCCCGCCGGACGCCCCCGCCGGGCCCCCGCGCACCGGGCCGGATGAAGTTGGCGGGCGAGGGGGGCACCCCGAACTGGTTGGTGATGTTGGGGGAGCTGAAGTCGTCCATCTCATCGTTGAACAGGATCCCGCTGACCGGGGACAGCACCTTGGACCCGAAGCTGCGGGGGAGGTGGGGGGGAGTCAGACTGCAGGCCCGCCCGGCCCCCCCAAAAGCTCCGTGTCCCCCGCGAGGCCCGGGTGAGGCTCCACCAGGGGCCTCCGTTTCCCAGCACAACAGGGGCCATGGAGCCCCCCCAGGACCCCCCGGCCGCCGGGCAGCCCCCCCGCAGCCCCCGGCCGCCCCCCAACCCCCCAGCCACCTCCCCGCACCCCCGGCCGGGCAGCCCCCCCCCCCTGCACCCCCGGCCGGGCAGCCCCCCCCCCGCACCCCCGGCCGGGCAGCCCCCCCCCGCACCCCTGGCCGGGCCGCCCCCCCCGCACCCCCGGCCGGGCCGCCCCCCCCCCCCCCCCCCCGCACCCCCGGCCGGGCAGCCCCCCCCGCCCCCGGCCGGCCCTCCCCGCCGGCCGCCTACTAGAGGTTGATGGTGCTGGTGGCGGCCACGGCGCTGCCGTCCTCGGCCACCACGGACAGGTGGGCGGTGCCGCCGTCATCCGGGCTGTAGAACTCGGGCTGGTAGTAGGCGGCGGGGCGGGTGGTGTGGTCGGAGATGCGGCCGCGCAGCTGGTCCGCGAAGAACTCGGAGCTCATGTTCCGGACCACCTGCCGGGACCCAGAGGGCCTGAGGGCGGGGGCGCGGGACAGGCTGGTGCGGCGGCTCCGAATGTCTGTCTGTCTGTCTGTCTGCTCCCCAAGCCCCCCTCCGGCACAGTCATTCATTCGTTCGTGGAGCTGGTACTGCGAGCCTGGCCCTGGGGGGTCAGCAGGGAACAGCCCAGCAGGTCCCCACCCACAGGGCAGGGGAGGCAGGGCGGTGCCAGGAAGAAGGAGCAGGGGAAGCTG